GTTAGCTTGCAGCCTCGCGCTTGCGGGGTTCGGCCAATTACAATGCACTGGGTCAGCTGGCCAATCAGAGCGGACTGCGCTTGTCAAAGGAGGGGGCTTTGTTGAAAACGACGCGTTTGAGAGAGGCGGGGCATAGAGGACCTACAATAATGTACAGTATTTGAAAAATAATGTGTTTTTTGAACATTAAAGCATGTCAACATATTCTGTTACACCAAATACACAAAATAATGATCTTTAAAATAGCATCATATGACCCCTTTAAGCAGCTGAGGAAGAAGCACTGACATCCTGATTTGGAGCAGAAACTAAGTGTTAAGTGGCGAGTTCACGATGGCTCAGAGCCCACATGCCTCCTGCTTTTCCGATCCATCCATGAGTTTGAGGACTTCCTGCCTTCAGATAGTGCTCGTCATAGGCGGTGCTTACCTAACTTCAAGAAACAAACCTGGCTCTCATGCTCCCCTCATGGTAGTGGAGCTATAACCCGAACGTGAGGTTTGCAGCAAAGGGCTCATATGCTGACACAGGCCCCGCTGACCCCCTGCACTCTGAAAGTGCTTATAATATACACAGCCCTGTTCTGCATTGTACATAGCACAAAATAAGGCGCTTCAGCTGTTCACACAATACATAACAGTGCCCCGCCTCAGCGCGGTATTTCGCCTGCTGGAGCACAAATTACACCAGCCGCTTACTTAATCATATAAACAGCTCCCCCGACCCAGTGGCGAGCTGTCGTGTACAAAGCAGCCGGGCAGGCAGCTACAAGTCAAGTCAAGTCAAGTCACCTTTATTTGAATAGCGCTTTATACAATATTGGTTGTGTCAAAGCAGCTTTACAGTGTCAAACAGGAAAATAGTTTGTCAATAATGCAAGAAGACAATAACAAAAAGCTAAAGTAAGTTCATTGATGATTCAGTGATGTCATCATCCAGTTCAGCTCTCTTCCAATAGCTTCAGCCTTCAGGAGGTTATGACGTATCACTGTATAAACACCAGCTAAGCGGTTGTTTTCAATAGCAGAGTGTAGTGCTTGTCTATACAAGTGCTTGTCTATCACTGACTTCCTATGATATGCACCGGTGCTGTGCCGCCATATTTATTAGAACGTGTAGTGCCGTTTACATTTCATACAGGTGTGTTGCTTACACTGACTAAGATATATGCTTGTGCTGCCGCCATTCGTTGCCTTTCTGTGATGAGGGCCGGCTCTCTTTATACAGATGTGTAATGTTGCTTACACTGACCAGTATATTGGCCGAAGTTACAGCTAACATAGCTCTGTGTGACTGCATGTAAAGTGTCTAAAAATTTTTTTAAATCCCAGCTTCAGACTCTTGCATAGAAGCAGCACAGTTTCAGCTGCGAAATCAGAGAATGTGGCCAAAATGCCATCTGTTCCCGGAACAAGGAACGTGCCACATAGCGTTATAGTTGGATCTACAATAAAGTCTACCTGCTGTTTTACTCGTCTCTCGGTTTCCCTGCCTATTGTGGGCACTATCGTTTGCGTTACGAGCGCATTATCAGAACACTCCCTCAGATCGTTCACACTGTAATGTTTTGTGGCACGTTGGGACTGCTTCACATGCGACCTCTTCAACTATTCAACTCAACTTTCACAGTTCCCCAGGCCAGTGTGCTGTCTAATCCTGGTCAGCTCCACAACTGCATGTCTAGCTCCGGTGAGAAGCTGTTGTCTGGAATGTGCTGTTTATCCGTACTTGTGTACAGTGGCTGTACCATGCATTGCGATTGCTGTTGAGAGTCGCTGCACTTATATGTCTTCTCCGCTTATGCCAAGCGGCCTTCGCAGTAACATGGTGTGAAGTTACATGCTCCCCAAAACGTCAGCTTACGCTGTCAGCAACGTCGAGAGACCATCTTGAAAGGGAACGTCTCTGGTTACTGACGTAACCTTGGTTCCCTGAGAAGGGAATGACAAGACGTTGTGTTTATGCTATGTTACTTACGCTCAGGTCTTTCATAAGCTCTCTTATTCAGTCAAAAGATACTGATGAAATGGCGCTTAACACTGCTTATATAGGGCGATTTCCTGCCCCCTTTTCGCGCGCTCGAGTGCCATTGGCCATTGTGATACAATGGCATTAAGCAAATAAGGCTTCAGTATTTGAGGAGAAAGGCGTTTCTCCAAAGCGTCAGCTTATACGGTCCGCAACGTCTCGTTCCCTTCTCAGGGAACCGAGGCTATGTCAGTAAAATGAAATGAAACTAAAATGAAAACTGAAATATAAACATCAAAATAAAAGCTAAATCAAAATATTATTAAATACTATAATAGCAATAAAATAACACTGTTTCTGAGAAGAAAGAAAATTTCCTTCAGGCATGAACAGTACTTTTACTATATGTGTGAAATGGTGTACATTGAAATAAGATGAAGACTTCAGTCACAGTTAATTTTAGGCCACTGATATTAAACTCGATATAAGGTTGTCCCCGTCATGGTGGCTATAACATGACCAGCGAAATGCGACCCCTTATTATTTGTCTAAATTAATCATGGATGAGAAATACATCTATGAATAGGCTATTTTTACAATTAGTAGCCAAAAACGTTGTTTTTTCTACCTGATTCTGTATCCATGTCAATAGGTGTCAGTAGTAATAGGTGTCAAAACGAAACAAAAATACTTAAATATTCTTGCCTCTGACAAAATAGTGGTGTCATAAGAAGGCTGATATTTCTCTTTCTCCTGCACAGTCTTTTTCTCCATCTTCTCTCGGTCTGTTTTTTGTTTTCTGTCTGCTCCCTTTGGCTGTTATTAGGAGAGTATGAGATACACTTTAATACATGCTGAAGACTTCAATATCATGCATGCATAATGCTTCAAAACACACCCTTCAACAACATAAGCATTCAGTATAAGAAACACAAAGGTGAAAATAATTCAGATCTGCAATCTTCAACCCAACACCACAGATATTTCCTTGCATTTAATGCATGTTTGCATGCATGTGGCATCACCTTAAAGACTTTGATCTGGCAGCTGGCGGAGTGCAGGTGCTCGGTGTACTCTCCGCTTTCATTTTGTTTAAAAGTGTCAATCTGGATCCGGAACGGGACTCCCTTCTCTCCGCCGTGTTTCCGTGGGGTGAACTCTGTACTGATGCAATGAACCTTTAACAAGGTAAGGAAGAAATAGATAATTAATGTGGAACACATGATCGGTTCCTAGAGCACTTTTGAGATTATCCTTGACATGTATTGCACTATTTCTGCACAGATTAGGATGTGCCAGATACATTTGTAATCAACTGGAACGATATTGATATGTTTGAAACTTGATCGGACGCTTTCAAAGTCAAGAGGCAATGTCAAAGAGCCAGTAGCCCTAGTCAGACTCTCTCCAACATGTCTGACACTACTGGTACAACATCTGCATAGCAGAGAGAGAATTTCTGGCCAATGAGATTGTTCTTCAGGGATGTTCTATTCATTAACTACACAAGACAGCTGTGAGGATCTTGACAGCAAGAATTAAATAATGACCTGAAGAAATATACACCAGTGAATGCTCAACTGCATATTTATATGTGCTCGATTTTTGCAGAAACATCATTAGTAATATTATACAATATATTATATTATTAATACTAATTTCAATACCACAGCAAAAAACTGATAATTTTATTATTTTAATAATTTAATGTAATTTAACAATATAAATAACACTGAACACACACCTTAATTTAAAATGTTAAATATTAAATTACATTAAAATTAAAACAATGTCTTAATGTATTTCTCATTGAAGTAAACAATTATACAAAATTCATGTAAATATTTAAGTAAACAGCCAGAAATCATTAAATAAATTAAGTTTTCTGTTTTTCTTAAACAACTTAATATTAATGACATAATAAAACAGCAACAGGTCTATTGCAATTACAATGCAAAGTCTAATGCAACTTGCATTGAATAAAACTTTTTTTTTTGTCCAACCCATTTACATTTACAAATCAAGTGTGTTTACATTAAATAAATCCTAAAATGTGTAAAATTGGTTGCAAAATAGTATCGTTCCCAACTGTTGATTTCCTTGTTGATTATCAACAGGCATACGCAGAAAAATATTATGTACAATGTTGCAACAAGTGTAATCTAACACAGCGAGATATATAAAACATTAAGTCCACTGCCCCAAGAACTATTTGCAAATTACACTTCAAACTGAAACTCTAGTGTGTTTCTGTAGCCTTTGAACGATGACAACATGGCTGCATGTTTGTGGTTTGATCTTGAATTGGGGTTTACCTGCACAAACACAGACGCTCGCTTGGAGAGATCCCACAGGAAATCCGCAGCGTTTAGCTGTGATGGCTGTGTGCAGGGCTCAGTGATGCCAACTGACAAGGGGATATCTGTAACAAACACATGACGCACTGTAAAAACTCCCTCTTCTGAGGCTTTATGCTGCTTTGATACTATTCACTTGATGAATCAAAAAAGACTGAACAAATTGATTGCAGCAACCTAAAGTAAACACATAAGCTCTCACCGATGTCGAGGAGGCGGTCGCCAGGCCGATTCCATTTCCAGCCCTCCAGCTGCTGGTGCTCCATGTACTGAAGCCTTCGGTCATGGAAAACCACCCTAACTATACTCTATAATTCACCCCAAACCAAATACACACAAACACAAAACCATCAGAACAAGCAGCACTCTTAAAGAGCCATACACCATACCAGTACTTCCTGCACCGCTGAATCTACAGCACCATGGCAAAACTAATTAGATTTTATCCTAGCTGTGATGTTGTTGCCTGAATTGAATTTGATGATGTAAAAAGGCTGTGTAGACATCCACAGTGGTTAAATCAGCACATTCACTCAGTGAAGGATTCCTCAGACTGATTCAAAACAGCAATTTGTGACGCAAAACATTTAAAGAAATGACTCCTAAAAGTCTACATTGATCACGCTGTATTATTATTTTTTATGTATGTGACCAGCAAAGACAACGGAAGAAAAATGTTGTCTATTTACTGATCAAAAGTTTGGGATCAGTAAGATTTTTGTTTAAAAAAATTAATTCTTTTATTTATCATTCCAGCATTAAGTTGATCAAAAGTGATAGTAAAAACTAATGTTAAAAAATATTTCAAATAAATGTAGTTCTTTTGAACTTGCAACACTGATAGCAGCAAATCAGCTTATTAGAATGATTTCTGGAGAATCATGTAGCACTAAAGACTTGCATAATGATGCTGAAAATTCAGCTTTGGCATCACAGTAATAAATTACAAAAAAATAGAAAACAGTTATGCTAAAAATTTAATAATATTACTTGTTTTGTTTGATTGAATAAATGCATTCTTGGTGAGCATAAGAGACTTCTGAGCAATAGTATATTTGTATTTATGCACGTATGTATTCATTTATTTGCTAAGTAATTAGCAATTCTTAAATATATATAATAATGTTTACAAATAAATGGACCACCTGGTTAATCTTAGTGCGTAACAATGCCATCACACAACTGTGCCAGTAAACAACACTGTTCACAAATAACTTAATGTGTTTTAAGTTAATTATTTTTATTATTAATTATTTAGTAATAAATTATTTTTATAATTATTATAATTTATTATTTAATAATAAATATTTATTATTAAATATTAATTCCCCCCCCATTATTTTCATACAATATTAGCTTTATAAAGCAAGCATTTGCCTTCAAAGGTTTGTGATCAACCATTTAGCTGTTATAAAATAAATAAAAAAAATTATCTTTAAAAAGGTATGAATAACAAAAATAACTAAATCAAAAAATAATCAGTATCATATTGGTCATAAAAAATATACTGGTTGATTTGTATTATTCTGCAGAACGAACTTTTTTTTTCCCCTCTCCAAATTCAATTCAGACTGCAAACTATCAACTTGAGTAAAATATAATTCATTTTGCCATGACGCTGTAGATTCACTGAATACCAGTGCAGGAGATGCCACACCACACAAAACCACAAGTGCACTGCACTGATAAAACACACACAATCTCTCACCTTAACAGTCTTGTTGTCGAGTTCAGGCATCTCCCCTATTTTCCTGTTATCAAGCAATCGGATCTCATATGACTGGCCTACAGAGGGAGATGGGAAGTGTGTTACTGAATATCTTCTCAACCAGGGTCAATACCAAGGTATTCTTTAAGGAATAGAGAAAGAAATATGGGTAATGAAAACTGTACCTTGGTTTAGGTAGGTGAGCGTCTCCTCGTGTAGTTTAACAGCAGGGGAGGTGGCGGCACACAGCACGTACTGAAACGGAGGATTCTTGGTGTCCGACTCCACAGGAACGCTAACATCTTCCTGCTTAAAGATGGGCAGAGCCAACACATCACTGAGGGAAAACAAACACAGACACAGAGAAATGGAAGTTATGAAATGGTGAATTATGTTGGTTAGAACCACAGAACCTCTACCATCAGTATGAAAATGGTTGTCACGGAAACAGGTATATAGGGAGCCTCCTGCCTGCTTACACCTATAGACACTTTAAAAACCACACGACACATGACCGCTCTTTCGGACTTCTGAACCACAAACAGATAAAGGACATATTCTCATCAGACTGCTAGGAAATATAAATAAAACAAAAGAGAGGTGTGTATTTACAATCATATATTAATAGACTACTGTTCAAAGGTTTGGGGTCAGTGTGATTTTTTAAACAAATGAATACTTTTATTCAGCAAGGATGCATTAATGTGTTAAATAATAGTAAAAAAATTATAATGTTACAATTTTTATTTCAAATAAAAAAAAATTTCTTGAAAAAAATTGATCACAATGCCCACTGTTTTCAATATTTATAAGAAATGTTTCTTGAACACAAAATCAGCATATTAGAATGATTTCTGAAGGATCATGTGACACTGAAGACTGAAAATGCAGCTTTGCCATCACAGAAATAATTTATATTAATATATATTTATATTCAAACAGAAAACAGTTATTTTAAATTGAAAAAATATTTTGCAGTTTTACTGTTTTTAGTGTGTTTTTGATCAAATAAATGCAGCCTTGGTAAGCATAACAGACTTATTTCAAAAACGGTAAAAAAAAATCTTACTGACCCCAAAATTTTGATGGTAGTATGTGTCACAATATCAAACAATTAACAATGAACAATTAATTTACACAATATTTAGCCCAAAATATTATTAGTATTTATATATTATGGAGTTAATAAATGCTGCCATGGCTCTGGGCTTGACACTTCTTTGCCACACTCACACCGGTATCAGGCCGGTGCAGTGACAGCTATAGACGCTGAGTCAGTTAGCTGGCAGTCTGCTTGACGTTTGTAACAGTGCGGCCTGCAGGATCCATCCTGCCCACCAATCTGCAAGTGTTTTCTGAAATATGAGCAGCTCCACTGTAACATTCCGTTCCACAGCTGCTCATTCCACATGATCGCAAATTAGATAATCAGCATCTCACACCCTCATTTACCTCAAACGCAACACCAAAACATCACATTAGCACCCCGTCATAGCAATGACTTACAGACACAGTAGGAAAATAATAAGCTTATCTCCATGATATCTGGATCTTGAACTTATCTGACCCTGTTGACTGAAAACACCTGCAAATTGCAAATGCAGAAAATGTCTTATTCCGGTCCATATTTCATAAAAGTTCAATAGCTAATGCTACCAAAAGAAATATAAGGGCATCTGACATGAAAATTGCCATATCCTGCAGTGTGACATGCTATAGTTTAATTTTAAATTCATTTAAACAGCATTTTGATCATTCTTTTATAATTGTGCATGCAGGTTTGCATGCACCTCATTAAATCAGAAACTACATAGAATATTTTTATTTGTTTTAAAAATGTATGTCATGGAATCATTTTAAATAAACTAGTCAATGCAAAAAGGTGGTCTTTTATAAAAAAAATATGCAATTTTTAATATTACTTTTATGCAATGTTAACACCAACACTAACTATTTTCATTATGGATGGAGCCATATTTAAATTCTGCCTGATACTAATAAGCCAGTAATTATTTAATTATCTGGACAATAACAGTTAATGGCCAATATTAAAACGGTATGCTATTTTGTCTAAATAAATGAAAAACAATACATTGGAAACTAAAATTAGTTAATCTAAATAAACACAACGACAAACAAAAAACTCTTACATCACAATAAAAACTATATGGGATATTTCAGCTTCATAATATGAAGCTTCCTTGGTGAGAACTTTTTGAAAAATACATTAAGTACTTCTATATAAAACCCAGTGATATTAAAAGCAGGGCAGTGCCATAAAATATGCTTAACAAACAATGGCATCTGCAAAATTTGATTAAAATTTTTTTTAAATAATTAAATAGCAGTCACAGGACACTTTCTCTAACATGTATGTATGTTTTAACCTAAAGTCTGTGAACAGGTTATGCCTCAACTACCCAAAAACACTGTCTGGTCCTCTAACATCAATAGAGGACCGTGTCAATAGCAGATCTGCAGGACACTGGAAGAGTAGCAAGAAACTTGATATCACAGGGGGAGAGCATGTGAACAGCCTTCTTCCCGCTGTCTCACACTACAGTGCTCCCACCACTAACAAACCCACCACAGAATGTAAACTCAACCACTGACTATACTCTCTCACACAGAGTATTTCAGACACTTGCATACGCACACTTGCAGAATAACAGAGCGCTCCAGGGAAAATACTGATGTTGCTCTTTCTACCACAACCTCCAGAAGCCCGCCACATCTCAGAGTTACCATTCCATGGAACCTGACCTCAGGCGCATAATGTGTATTCCTATCACGCAGTGACCGTATTTCAAACTCCTTGTGGCCAAATGGGAACAGCGAAGGGTGCTGGCGATTTGGAAAAGCGACATACAGTTTAAATATGCTCCATCATTAATACCCCAATGAAACTGTGACGTATGCAGGGGGATTGTGGTTTGCCTCTCCCAATGCTGTGGATGCTGAAGCACCTGGCATGCAGTTGGAACGCATGGAAAAACCCAATACATACCTATGAATAAAATGGATGAGCATGATGTTTTGGACAGCTTGATACTGGTCAAATTCAACTAAATAACAAACAAAAACAAATGGCTGCAATGTTAGTAGCACGTGAAAGTAAGATTAAAAGAATTTTAATAATGTGATATTTTCCAACCTGTATTTCTAAAAAATAAAAAGAAAGAAAACAGGCACCCAACAGTAAAGGTGAACCATGTGATTTCTAAGCAAAATAGAGCGGTTTAGTTCTTATGTCAATTAGTAGTCCAACCTGAAAGCTGATTGACAGCAGAATGCATTCATACCCATGAACTTTTTTGGTAGACATTAGTTTTTTTTTTAAAGTCTTTGTTTAAGAGTTTTAAGCCAAGAACAAAGTATGTGTGTGTGTGTGTGTGTAATATTTTGTATGTTTTTTTTTTTTATACATTATAAAAGAGAGTAGGGAGACTGACACTGTTATGTCATTCGCAGTGCTACATGGGACTGGATGGGCGCAAGTTCTTTTGGTGTGATTTGCTTCTTTCGATTCTTTGACTGATGGACATTTCTCTGCAAAATCATAAGTAATGTAGTTTTTTTTTTTTTTTTAAACAGAACTTCGCTGGTAAAAATGATTATTCTTAAAAGTGAAACCAAAGCAAATTATTAAGGATTAACAACCTAATAGCTCACTGTAGGTGAGTTCATAACAGTAGGTTATCTTTCAAAATCAATTCCCCAAATAAGAAAATGAATGGGATTTTTACTTCCAGAACCCAATTGTCACACTCTAGGGGGTTCCCTCAGGAATTTATATAGGGTTATTTAGAACAACACTTTTATGACTACAAAATTACATTTTTCGAGGAATCAACTATCTAATGACTTACTGGGTTGCCTGCATATTAAACAGGGATATACATATTTTATCAAAGGAAATATAATACACACTTCACCTTTAATTTCTTTATTTTAAAGGTGCACAGAAAATGCAGACAGACTATCCCGAGGATATGGCTCTCATCCTAAATATTGCATCAACTCTTCCTGAGTCACCCTAACAGTTCAATGACGTAATCATAGCCTCTATGCGCAGTATCGTATGACGTAATGCAGCTCGACTGCCGCCTCAATTTCTTCAATCAGTAAAACGTGTTACTCACGAAACATTTTAATGCCCTTAAAACAATACGTGTGAAGAGATAAGATTTAAATATAATTACTATATTTAAACGAATTCTTTATAACTGTTAATTTCGCATCTCAAAGAACATCCTGTTCCAGGAAGTAACATTACTTCAAACGCGCTTGTTATCGTTTCAGTGCGGCCACGTTATGGCTACTCGAAAGGAGCGTGAGAATACTGATTAACGCTCTACAACCAGGGGCCAGTTGATATAACTGAAATAATAGTCACCACGTTAAGAACTAGTTTGACTAACTAGCAGTTAACCAAGTGGTTATCGGTCTTACTTTTCAGATTCAAATGAGATCAATCTACGTTTTTATGTAAATGACTTAAAAAAAAGTATGACCAGTCTTGCAGAAAATAATTAGGTGTCTAACTTTTAAGACTAGTCTAAGCAGTTTATGCAACCGGCCACAGGTCTCGTTAGTTCTCAAGATGGTCAGACAACATAAGGATGCAACTCGTTGTCTATTGTTTTGAGCTAGCTATAGCAACTCTCACATAGCCACACTGCATCCAGTAGACGACAAAACAATCTCGCGAAGTTGCCAAATGATAAATAAGGATATCAAATAATGATTTTTTTTAAACCAATGAGCACAACCCGCCTGGAATCCCGAGGTTCGCAATGTAAACACTGCGATCAAGACAGCTAGCCAACTAGCTCGCCGTCACAGATGCATCGCCCCCGGCTTAGGGACTCTTGGAAAGCTGCTGATCGGTTTGCATGCTGCTCTAACCTCATGCTGTACGCGCCAGCCCCGAGCTCCTGGCCAATGCCAGACAAACTGGCATCGAAGTCGTGCACGAGCCCAGACTCGATGGTAGCATCGTCCATCTTCAGCACCCACGCCATGGCGCCCAGATCCTTCTCCTCCGACTCTAACCGGAGCGCCGCCAGCTTCACCTGGTACAGACAGCCCCTGCGCGGAGCTCGCGTTGCCGCAGGAGTCAGCTAGTCCTACTAGAGTTGGTTAAGTTAGGTGGCCACCCGCGGAAGGCTAGCTGTTGAAAGCAGGGCAAACGGCTCTAGCCCCGACTACCGTGTGCCTCGCCATTGCTTCAGTTTCACAATAACACAGGCGACAAATAAGAGACTCGAGATGAACCGAGGCGTCGCAAAGTCAACTCAACCATCCACGCAAAGCTCCCGTATGTTATCCCGTATACATCAGCACATCATATCTGTATGCGATCTTCCATTATATAAAAGCAGGGTGGGAGGACGCTGTTGACTGTCACCGTATTCACACGCAATGTCCGCTCGAGGAATTGGGTTGGCAGAGCTCGCTCGCTTTCACCTAAACGCGGTACGGTGTCTTTACGCTCTCTACTCTCCGAAAGCGTTCGCTTAATTTCATCGTGCTGACCCGCCCGTTTGGTCTTTCGGAAAAAGGCCAAAGATCACAAAACATCGACACGGCCCTCTGTCTTCCACCATTCAAACCCCAAACGCGAGATAGCTGCAGCGCAGCAGGGATCCGGGTCGGGAATCTGACAGCCAATCACGTTGCTCTGCGAGCTGCGCTCAGCCAATCGGCTCCCGGGTATCTGTCGTCATCTTCTTCCTAAGCTAGCTCTCCGACGCACCGTAGTCACTCTCGACTTCCAAACACAATATTACCTTTAACTTACAGCGCATATATTAAACGTAAAGTCACCTGGTGGAAGAAATGCAAACTTGTTGAATATATAAGATTATTTTTATAGATCACAATCAACACGTTTATGTTCAAAACCTCAGATCTACAGCTGACAGCCAAAGTCCATATCAACATTGCTGTAAAATGACAAGAAAATATAGATACAGACAGATAGCTGCTTTTGCTGTCTAGTGATAAATGAGGCCCAGCAGCGTGAGATATTCAGATCCCACCGGGGCTGTTTTTGCTCTGAAATTCCATTCTGAAAAACAGGGATGGCCACTCAAGGACACGTTTTGGGTGTTTTTAACCTGTTGTTGTTGTGGTGGTCTGGACAGGAAGGCAGATGGGCCTTTGAACATGATTAGGTTCTCTTAAACAGACCACCAACCTATAAACAAAACCGCCTCGGGTGTTTACAGCTGGGAATTTAGTCACAGCTCTGTGAGACAGCTGGGAAATACTTGATTATTTTTTTAACTGAGGGCACTGGTGTCCTTGAGAAACAATATTTGCAAACGTATAAATAAATACTTTTCAGATGGCAGTTATGCAGTAAGTTTCTATTTAGTGGGAGAAACAGGGAAATGGCAGAATAGTCTGTCACCCAGACCTATTTGTAAGGTTTACAATGGCCAAAAGAGGCCAACAAAGAGGATGATTATAATGACATTTCTCATTGGTTCTGACTTTACTGCACTTTAATGGCTCATTACAGACAAGTGATTTTAAGCATGTGATAAAAGCACTTTTACACTGCAAGTTTGAGTCAAAATTTCAAATACATTAATGCTTTTCTAGCAGTTGGTTTTGTGTGTTGGTTTTAAACACCTAGTTCATCATACTTTTGCTATGGCTGATGATGGGTAATAAGTGAACACAATAAAAGCACACTGGTGTACATTCATATATATATATATATATATATATAGATTGATTATCATGAATTTTGCGTCACAATTGTTTTATTGTTTACATTTTGCTGAACTTAACTGTTACTGTTTGCATTTTGTCTACTCCTAAATTGTTTTCATATTACAGCAATACAGCATCATAATTTAAATAATTGTTATGCAATATCTGAAATTGTGTATAATAAATTAAAATAATCTGTAATTTAACTAAGAGTAAACAAACTTGAGACAGATTCGACTGACAGATATGAGAAACCCTTCGCATCACGAGTGGCCACGAGAGAAATAAATGTAATAATATAGCTTATATGTAACTGAATAAACAGTAAAGAAATGTTCGTAGTATATATGTGTGCGATTGTGTATATAAACACACAAATACACAGTGACACTTATGTAACTTAAGAAAACAAATTCAACATGAATTCAGACGGAAATACCAATAAAAGTTATGCCTTTAATTTCCATTAAACACAAGAGTTATTCTGTAGCGCTCAATTTTACCGTGTGTTCCTGCAGTTGTAGGGCTGTCGACTCTCAAAGCTCCCAGTGTGCAGCTGCCAGAAAAGCATTGCATTACTATCTACGAATCCCGCGATCAATGCTGAAAAAACTAGTAAAAGCGACCAAGGCAGTCTCACATCGAGTCACGCCGTTGCTTTCTTGTTTATTAGCAGTGAACTTCATCCACCGAGACAGCGCACGCGATCGCCCCGCCGTGACTGCAATATGATGTTGAACACAGAGACAGAAACATAAACTACCTTTTAAAACTTCAGTGTCGTTCTTTTTTTCTTTTTTTTTTAACGAAATTCTTTATTTTATTCAGCAAGCGTGCATTACACGGATAAAAAAATGGCAGTAAAGGAATTTCTAATGTTACAAAAGATTTATATTGCAAATAAACACTGTTCTTTTCAACATTCTATTCATCAAAGAATCCCCAAAAAAGATAATGTATCAGTTTCCACTAAAGAAGCACAACTGTTTTCATCATTGATCATTTTCTTAAGGTGAGACACTGCAGGTGAATAGGGTAAAAAAAATAACTAATAGTTATTGCCTTACCCAGCTGATTGATTACATTGATAATTGCAAAAAAATTGTGTATTACAAGTTTTCTAAAATGTTAGGTTTAAATATGCAAATGATTAATTATTTCATGAAATATGCGCTAATTTGCATACATTTCTAGTACAAAAATCTAAACACTGGATTATGCCAGTTTCGGAATTTTGGGTATCTCATTTTTGTCACTCCATAATTCAGAAAATGCTTAGAACGGACAGAAAACACTATATTTTCACAATTTTGGGGGGAATAAAATGTTGTATATAATCAAGCAAATTATATATGAACAAATTCCTCTGTAAAAACCTGCAGGATATAGACAGGAATACAAATGTAGTTTGGTGTGTGTAAGTGCTACTGAAGTGGAGATTTATGGCTAAATCTGTTGATGACACATTATAATGCTTTAAAAGTACACACCTTTTTTAACCCTGTCATTTTTTTTTCTGAGAGAGAAAGAGAAAATATTTGATACACCAGGCTTTATGGCTCATATAGAATATATACTGCGTACAATTATATATATATATATATATACAGTATATATAGTATATATAGTCCCTAATATTATTGCTATTACTGTATTTTTGGTCAAATAAATGCAGCCTTGGTGAGCATGGTGAGCATAGGGATCACACCTGTACTCTATCTTTCGCAAGCCCAATTAAAAAAAGAAAATTGTTTAGCAGACCAATAATGTCTTAAATTGGCTAATGACTTAGCGACTGTGTATAGCATATCAGAAATAAGATAATAGTGGAAACACTTTTGAAATTTAGGTTTCCATTAAGGTTATCCTATAGCAACTAGATAGTATCCATTTAATGCACTTGGCCATTTTGTCTCTATAATGCTTAAGCTGTTGAGTTGAGCCAAAGGCGACTTCGTCCTCGTCCTGTGAGCTCGGCTGGTAAGTGAAGCAAGCTAATGCAATTATGAACTCAATTAAGTCACAGTAATAGAGTTTCCATGAACAGGACCTGTTAATCCCCCGATTGAAGTGTCTGATAGTGGAGGGCTGTAGTGAAAAATTGAAGTGACAATGGGTCTCATTTAACAACTGTGTATTGTATATGTGTGTATTTGTTTACAAAACTATGAATTACTGCATAATTTACAGTGAAAAACAGTCAAAGGACATTCCCAGAAGTCCCTGTGTGACCTATCACATATGTTAATATTTTATTTAAATAGTCTTGTTTCTTATTATTTTTGCTATTAATAATGTACATTAGGGTGTTTGGTTACATTTTACATTACATTTTCTGCTTACAGTAAATTAAGTATGTAATTATGTCATTAAGATTACACTGCTCAATGAAATCTGCGTTTGCTAGTTGCCATCATGTAATACCTGAAATAATGTATTTTTTATTGTGAATTTCTGGCAAAAAATAAAAAATAAATTTACACCATAAATTTAACAGAATATTTTTACATCATCATAATGCATACAAGTGTTCTTTGTTACGGGGCATTTGCATGACACCATTTTCAACTGAAAATGGAAATCTTTTTGTGCGTTTTGGTCGGTTTTAAAAGCCTTTGAAAACAGTTTTCAAAGTGCAAGTTTTTGAAAACAATACCATTATTGTCTCTGTGTAAGCTAAAAAAAAAAA